AGCTGCTGCCATCGTTTTGCGAGAGTGAGAATCTGCCGACGTCGATGCTTTGGCCGCGGTCATGGCGATAGCTCGTCGGTTTCCGCTCGGGTGAGGGCGAGGATGCGGGAGACGGCCCGGCGGGAGCTTGGGGGAGTGGTCGTAAGGACATGCGAGCCATGTTGAAGATGTTGCCCTCCTCCTTCTTCTTTGAACTTGTGAAGACGTCATCTTCCAGCGGACGCTGGCTGAAGCGACTGACATCACTCATGCCCCGTTTGTGGGTGTGAGCGGCGGCGTAGCCGCTCGAGGCTGAGGAGTATACTGTACTGGCGCGACTGCGCTCGGAGAAATTGGAGTAGCCAGAGGAGGCAGATGACGAGGCAGTTGAGGGCTGCCGGTTGACATTTCCTTCTGTTTCAAGGTTTTGTGATTGCCGGAGAGGGTGTGTTCGGTACGACATGGTTGACGATGCCGAACGTCGGTTAGGAGGTCGAGGAAAGTTTGCGCTGCAGGTTCATGTATTCGCGGAATTCGGATGACCACATGAAGGCGCTTTCGCTGGGAAGGCTCTGGGTCGATGCTCCTCGGGCTGAGCTAACCAAACGACGCTGTGGTCAGGGTCGACTTTGGTGGCTGGCTTGGAATGTGTCGAGGCGGCGGAGGATGCGGAGGGGTGAAGATTTGCTCTCTTGGAGGGCCCAAAGTCGGAGGCAATGCCAGAGGCAGAGTTGGGTCACAACAAGGTGGAGTGGCGCGTAGTCGGGGATCTAAGACATGGGCGCGCTCGGCGCGAGGGAGTTGGGGCGAGGGAGCAGTGCAAGGAGCACAGCAGCAATGATGTTGAGGAAGAAATGAATCGTATGGGTTCTCGTCGATAACCTCATGCCCTGTACTCGGCGGCCATTTCGAGACCGTAATGTTAAAAGTGAACAAGGATAACGCAGGAGCAGATGGCAGTCGGCGGCTGGACGGCTGAGGGGTCCATGGATGTTTGGTGCTTTGGAGCAGTGAGTGCCGTTGCTGTGCTGAGTTTCTGTGTTTGTTTACTGCCTGATGTGGCTAGGCGCAGATGGGTGGGAGGAGTGGAGCAACCGCTGTCCGGCGCTGTCTGGCGCAGGCCTGGTTTTTGCTAGCGCTGTTACGTCACGTCACACTGAGCCGGCAGCTACCGATAATGTGCCGGTGCTACGGCCTTTGTGCCTGCGACCTTCCTTGCCTTGGGCTCGCGCGTTTCGTTTCGACTGAGCCTGTTGGCAGTGTGAAGGCTGAATGAAGTGTTGTTGCTGCTTTGCCCCTCAACCACCTAGGATGGCTTCACACGGCAGTCAGAGACGGCTCGGGATGTGGTGCCAAGCGACTGTTGATCCCAGCACTCAATTGACCAGGAGCAAAAGCACAACACAGTATACCGATAAATCCAGACCATCACATCAATTCGTAACGTGTTGACTACGTCTCCACGTGGTTGGACGGGTATCCTGTGTGCCGTTTCTCCTCTTGTTCAAGCTACGTCCTGAACAAGATGCGCTCCCAGGATCGTCATCGGTCTCTAGAAACGAGTCTATGGATCAATAGAAACTGGTGGGCGCCTGACAGCTTGGCACTGATGATTGGGCAATTGGATGGGATTTCGACACCTCCTGTTGGCCTGCTGGATACGGCTACACTTCCTGCCCAGAAACACAAGTCACGTCGTCAAGGCCTTCGTGCGACGTAAAATCCTTGATGCATTCAGACGGCCCTTGCACCGGGGCGACCATATGTCGGAAGGAACTAGTATACCTTTTCCTTGGCCACAATTCACGGAGAGCAGAGGCAAGGGTTGGCGCGGTCATGAAGAAACCGGGTCATGGCCAAAGGCGTAACGAGCAAACATGCTTCTATCCATGACAGCCGTGCACAGGGCACACACCGCTCGCGTGGTGTGGGGCTTGTGCGCTGGAGGCCAGGCGATTGGGCCCTACAACTCGCTGCTGGCCCCCTGCCCCGCACCGCACCGAGTTCGGGTCAGTCAGCTCAAAATGTGCAGGGTCTGAGTGGGCCTTTAAAAAAAGTTTCCAGCGGGGACCAGACGAACTTTTTCTTCCCTCCTTCTACTGGGAAGAAGAGACCAACCGATCGCAGTCATTGAACGAGCCAAGCAAGCATCAGGACTTTGCGTGACGACAGCTTCTTCTTCCTCGCTGCCTTCTCCCGCTTCTACTTTCTCCCACTCTTTTCCATCCATCACTTTGCCCCAGCAAAGCGAAGAAGAAAAATGCCTGGCACCAACGGTACCCAGGGCGCGAAGGTGCTCGACCACGCCACCGCTCTCGATGTCCTCAAGGAGTACGAGGGCCGTGACGGTCTTGACATCACCGAGCTCATGGACACCAAGAAGCACGGCGGTCTGACCTACAACGACTTCCTGCTGCTTCCTGGCTACATTGGCTTCCCCGCCTCCGCCGTCAACCTCGACTCGCCTGTCACCAAGCGTGTCACCCTCAAGACCCCCTTCGTCTCCTCGCCCATGGACACCGTCACTGAGCACGAGATGGCCATTCACATGGCGCTCCAGGGCGGCCTCGGCGTTGTTCACCACAACTGCTCCCCCGAGGCCCAGGCCGACATGATCCGAAAGGTGAAGCGCTATGAGAACGGCTTCATCCTCGACCCCGTTGTCATCAGCCGCGACACCACTGTCGGCGAGGCGAAGGCTCTTAAGGAGAAGTGGGGTTTCGGCGGTTTCCCCGTCACAGGTCAGTCGCCTATTTCTCTCTCTTCTCTTCGCTCGTGTTACCAGCGCTCCCCACCCTTTTGTCGGCTTTCGATGATTAAAAAACCATGTCATAACTTTCGTTCCACCATACGTGACAACCATGTTGTCTTGAGGATATCTAATTAGACTATGAAAATAAGCCTTTTGCATCTTTTACTATTTTGCGCTATTTTGGCAAGAATCCGCAAAGCTAACCAATGCTTTCAGAGAACGGCAAGCTCGGCTCCAAGCTGCTGGGTATCGTCACCAACCGTGATATCCAGTTTGAGGAGGACCCCGAGACCTCCATCTCCAACGTCATGGTGACCGAGCTGATCACTGCTCCCTCGGGCGTTGACCTGCCCGACGCGAACAAGATCCTCGCCAAGTCCAAGAAGGGCAAGCTGCCCATCGTCGACAAGGAGGGCAACCTCGTCTCCATGATCTCCCGCTCCGACTTGAACAAGAACCAGCACTTCCCCCTGGCTTCCAAGCTCCCCGACAGCAAGCAGCTCCTCTGCGCTGCTGCCATTGGCACCCGTCCCGCCGACCGCGAGCGTCTTGCTCTGCTGGTCGATGCTGGCCTTGACATTGTCATCCTGGACTCGTCCCAGGGTAACAGCATGTACCAGGCCGAGATGGTCAAGTGGATCAAGTCCGAGTTCCCCGGCCTCGACGTCATTGGCGGAAACGTCGTGACGCGCGAGCAAGCCGCGACCCTCATCGCCGCCGGCGTTGACGGTCTGCGTATCGGCATGGGCAGCGGCTCGGCCTGCATCACACAGGAGGTCATGGCCGTCGGCCGCCCCCAGGCTGCTGCCGTTTACTCGGTCAGCAGCTTCGCCGCCCGCTTCGGCGTGCCCTGCATCGCCGACGGTGGTGTCCAGAACGTCGGCCACGTCGTCAAGGGCCTGTCCCTCGGTGCCTCGACCGTCATGATGGGCGGTCTCCTCGCCGGCACCACCGAGTCCCCCGGCACGTCCTTCGTCTCGCGCGAGGGCAAGCTGGTCAAGGCCTACCGTGGCATGGGCAGCATTGACGCCATGCAGGACAAGAAGGCCGGCGGTGGCGGCAAAGACTCGCAGAAGAGCAATGCCGGCACGGCCCGCTACTTCTCCGAGGGCGACAGCGTCCTGGTTGCCCAGGGCGTTACCGGCTCCGTCGCGCACAGGGGGTATGTTTCTCCCGCGCTCAACCACCCTCCGATTATGTTTGCTGACAGTCTTGACAGTCCCATCTCCAAGTTCGTCCCCTACCTCGCGGCCGGCCTTAAGCACTCGATGCAGGACTGCGGCATGCAGAGCCTGACTGAGCTGCACGAGAGCGTCGCCGACGGTACCCTCCGTTTCGAGCTTCGCACGTCGAGCGCCCAGATGGAGGGCAACGTGAACATGGAGTCCTACGAGAAGAAGCTCTTTGCGTAGACCTCTTTCACTGTCTAGCACTGTCTAGCAACACAACTCGTCGTGGCAGTGGCAGAGTCCCCCTCCCCAAGACCATATCGTAGGGGCGTATGCTGGTCGTTGGGGTGGGAAATGGTGGGCGGTATGATGATTTTTCTGGCGTAACGAATGGAAATGAAGCGCGTGTTGGAATACCGCAGCAAGGGAACGGGACGGGATGGGAATTTTGGGAACACTCTAAAACAAAAATTAGGGGATGTATAGGGAGAAGCCATGACGCTTTTACGAAACGCTGCTTCGATGATATACCATGGTACACACAAAAAGTGCCGAGCGCTCGCGCGCGCAATGAAAATAATGAAAGTTCACGATTTACTACGATACATGCGGAAGCTCTGCCAGTCTGGTGAGGTGTGCAACATGCGGCGAAATTATTCCGGTGGTGCAACTACTTGGGGAGGGAAAGTGCCTGATGGCCGATATCGGCAACTTGGTATTCCTCTACATAGGTAGTCCCGCTGGCAGACGGCCTTTACGATAATTTGAACCGCGCTGCGTGTGCTATGTTAGGTGTATGAGCACCTGCCTAGCCGTGCAGAACCAAATTCAAAAAGTGCTGCAATCTCATACTGACAAGCTGAACAGAAGTTTTGAGTAGTCAGGCAATGCTCATTACACCATTACACCTCGCGTGCAAGACCGCATGGACTATGCTGTGTGCCGAAAATCCTCAAACTAAATAAAACTCAAACTCGCTCATGATCCGTCAAGCATGTTTAAAATTTCGCAGATTCCCTTCTCGAGTTTCGTCAACTTGGCAGCGTTTCACGCCGTGAAAGCCCCCTCTCATCACACCTTTTGCTCATCATTCTCCAACATCATTGCTTGCTCGTCGTGATCGAATCGTATCCAGCTCTCGGTGTCGTGCGACCACTGCTACCTGCACGTCCCAGTAAAGGCTCATCCTCAGAGGAATACTCGCCTTCCTCTCCTTCATTCCTGTCTTTGGCCGTTATTACCACGTCGGAATCGTCATCTTCTAGCAAGGTCTCCTCATCGGCCTCGTCGTCTGTGGTCTCGGTGCTGGGCGCAGGGCCGTCGCCTTCGGTGAGCATCATGGCAGGGATGGCGCCGACCACAGCACAGAATGAAAGAAGCCACCAAGCAGTAATCACATAACCCCTCTCTACACCCCAGCTAAACGCGACGCCGGCGCTGGCCGGTCCGACGGCACGGCCCAGGCCGGAGAACATGGTCGCAAAGCCGTTGAGAGTGCCCAGAATGCGCAGGCTGGACGCCGAATTGGTGAGCAAAATAGTCATACAGGGAAAGCCGACAATGGCAGCGAAGCCCTTGACCAGCATAAGAGACAGGAGCGCAATATAGCGTGTTGTCGTGGTAGGAAGGAGGACGGTATATGGCATGAGGATATACACAAAGGGCGAGACGTAGGCACACGCGCGGTAGCATCGGAGAGTGCCAAATCGGCTGCAGAGGACTGGGAAGAAGAGAAACTGAATCGCGCCGCACGCAACGCCGTAGAAGGCGAAGATGGGGCCGATACGCTCAGAGCCGAGACCGAAACCACCGCTGAATTGAAAGGGTAGACTCGTGTTTTCGGGTGTGTGTTCGATGATCGGATAGTTCAAGAAGACGGGAACAACCTGATCGAAAGCGACGGCGTGGAGAGCCAAGAATGTGTAGGCAACGAGACCAATGACCGTTTGCCTGGTGAACACTTCGCCCATTGATGGCTTGGTCGTGATCATGGACTTCTTTGGGGCCTTAATCATGGCTGGCAACAAGGGAGCCGTGGCCTCGCCGTCAACGAAGGATGTCCTCCTCGCTCGAATGTCGTGGCGACTGCGTCTAAAGGTGCGAGTAAGACGCCGTCCCATCTGCAAACCCCAGTCATTGCTACCTCGCTTGCTCTCAAGCGTCTCGTGTAGGAAGAAGATGGCTGATCCAAGCGATATGAGGAAGAAGATGGACATGATCATGTTTGGCAAGGCGAATGGGAAGGTCTTAAAGAATGTGCTGTTGCCGAAGAGCGCTGGGAAGCGCTCGACCGGCTGGACAAATATGCCACCGAAGGCAGGACCGAAGACGCCTGTCCATGTAAATACGTGGTTCTAGGTGGATTGGTTATGGAGGGAGCTTACTTCCAATCGTCCATACGAGAGGCATGACAGAGAATGCTCGGGGCTGGAGCTCCTTCTCGGTTACCATTTCGGCCACCATGGTGCGGATGATGCCAACTAGTGAGGATATCAGGACGTGCTATCCAAGATGAATTTGGTATGGTTCAACTCACCATTGCCGTTGCCACCTCCAAGCAAAACGCGCACGATGATAGCCATAGTTAGACTAGTCGAGAATCCCCATACGAGGAAGAGTGTCATGGTGGAGGTTAAGCCGGCGATGATGGTCGGTTTCCGGCCAAACGTGTCGGATGCTTTCCCCCAAGGCACCGCACAGGCGCTCTGTGAAAGCGAAAATGCGGCAGACGTGATGCCAGCCCATTTGGCGACTTTGTTCTGCTCGACACCGAAGCTGCGGATCATCTCTGGAAGATAGGGGAAGACGGAAGTCATGGCGAGGGGCTCGGCGAATCGCGCGATGGCTGGGAAAATGTTAGCGGACCATGTTGCTCATAGCTGTAAATACCTGTGAGGTGTCGGTACAGCAAATATGGAGACGACTACGATCCCTCCTTCGTGCTGGTGGAGAGGTCCATGTTACGTTCCTGCTTCGAGCATGAGAATGCGGCTCAGGCTCACGGTGACCAGGCGGCGAGGAAGATCATGACCAAAGTGCAGCACATGCTGAAGCGGATAACATAAAAAAAAAAGATGAAAAAGATATCTAGGTAGCATTTTGTCTGTCTTTTGGCCCTCCTCAACATTGTCGTCCATGATCACGCGATGTCCGCTGTATCCCATGTCCTAGCAGGGGCACTAGCCTAGATAGACATGTAGAGTTGTCCGAAGCGTCTGCAACATACGAGAGGAGGTATCCAGGATAACGCTGATTTATGGGCCGAGGTGAGAGAGTCTGCGTAGCTTACCCAAAATGGCCAGCTGTTGCACCGGCAGCTGCGGCTCTCGCCTCCTCCTGGGGTTCGACATGATGGCTGAAGGGGAGTACGTGAGCCTACAGAAAGCGGGTCGGCGATCTGGTGGATAGACAGGTGCAGGATAAGATGGGCATATATTTTGGAACCCAGGGCGCCTTCAGATAGGCGTAAACAAATATGGGAGGTCTAGCAAGATTTGGTCAAGACTAGAGGACCAGAGCAAGGCTCGGTTGGACAGGTTGCGGACAAAAGAGGCCGAATAACGAAGAAAAAGATGCAGAAGTGATGAGAAATCGAGGAATCGGTCAGTCAAATGAAGAGAAACTGCACCTGCAAAACCTTGCATCGGTCACAGGCAACGACCCCACTGGCCATTTTCCTAGCGTCGTAGTGCGTTCCCACCTCCACACACAAGCGCTGCAGCCCGATCCGCTCGCGCTCGCCTCGCATTAGGTGCCCAGCCGTTGCACTTCTCCATGCACTTGCACTTGCCTCGTTGGGCATTTACTACTGCACAACAGCCTGGTTGGTCTCAGGTTTACACTCCCGCGGTCGGCTCACCGAGCGACAGGTCTTGCCTTCGGGGGAAAGATGACGCCTCCCGAGTCTTGTGAGGGGCTCCTCCTCCATGTGCGATTGGTTCCGGATGACAGGTGCATATCCGATGAACGATGAGCCTTGCAGAAATCCCCCAAAGAAAGGCGGTATTGGTTGTCGATCCAAGGCGCCTCATGTAAGCAATGCCGTCACGAGGTGAAAGAGAGACAAGCGTCCTGCGAAGGATGCAATGGAAGTTTCAAGGGAGGAGGGAAGGGGTGGCAGCCATGGTCAGTGTGGCGAGTCCGCTGTCGGCATGTTGGTCGGTTGTCGGCGGCGTCGTCGTCAACTTGACCGAGAAGTAGCGGATGGGACGGCGAGATGGTGTGTTCAGCGTTGAGGTGCGACAGGGTGTATTTTTTTCCAACGTTAAGGAGTCGCGTCCCCCCCGACGCAGGGTGGGGGTCACACGTCCAGGCCTCACAGTCGGTCAGTTGCTTGGCCTGTGTGGCCCCCTCGTGATTCTGGCAACTGGCGGCCCGATGCTGGCCCGGCCGTCATCGGCGCCAAACCCGGGGGCCGAATATCCACCCCGCAATAGGATCCGAGTTGCAGTACGAGCACACGTTCAACGCTGATGATGTAAGCGCACCATGCTCCTCGACCACCGAAAGCGTCATCATGTGCCAATTCTAGGCAGGTACTGTATAACCCTCACTGTCTCTACCCTCAGGAAGGTAGGTGACTTCCCTACCCCTCTGCCCAGGGGCAGGCACGGTACACTCTCCACTTTAGATTCCTTGATCGCATCAAAGTCACGTTCACTGATGCCATCGATGACAAACGATACGACCCACTGCCCACCTCTCGACAACCCATCGAGGTCTTGTTCAGGATTCACACCTAAGCTTCACGGTGTAGTGGTTCTTCCTTGAGTTTCGCTTCACCACAGCTCAGTCAGTCTTGGTGTCCTCTCACCTCAGATACTCGACGCATCTATCGAAGGCGCAGACCGATCTTTACATCACATCCACCTGCGGTACATCCCCCCTTCTCCTTCTGTTGCTCGTATCTCAGAACGGATATATCTTGGCGACAGACAACACAATACGACCAGGTTTCACAGCACATTCTCACTGTTACCATGACTGAAAAGTCTCCAGCGCACAGGCACCCGCCGGGCGTCGTCATGGCAGACGAGCATACGCCCTTGATAGCCACGGTTGTCGTGGCGGAGCCCAGGCAGCGGTACCAGCACCACTACGTTCGACGCCTGTGTACCACTGCGATATGCGCATGTCTCTTTGCCTTCTTTACGACATTCGTGGTCCTGGTGTGTCTCGATCCCGACGACGGCTCCTCTTACTTTCCTGGTCCGCCAAGTGGACCAGCTCACTCTACTGCGCAGACGGGGCCCAACTTCTCGCACCAGGACTTGCTTGGTGTCCTTTTCGAGACCCCATCTGCCGAAAAGGCCGAGGACTGGAGCAGATACTACACCGCCGGTCCCCATCTGGCAGGCCAGAACTTCTCTCAGGTACGCTATCCACTCGACTACGTGAGGAAATAGTACTCACAAACACATTAGGCGAGATGGACCCAGGAGAGGTGGATTGAGTGGGGTGTTCCCTCTGACATTGTTTCTTACGACGTGTATTTGAACTATCCTGTGAACCATAGCCTCTCCGTTCTCAGCCGCGAGGAGAAAGACAGCAATGCGCAAGATGCCTCTTGGAAGGTTGACTTCGAGGCATCGCTCGAAGAGGACATCCTCGACGAAGACCCCACATCCGGTTCCGCAGATCGCATCCCTACCTTTCACGGCTACTCAGCAAGCGGTAACGTTACCGGTTCCTTTGTTTGGGTCAACTATGGCACGTACCAAGATTTTGAGGACCTACGCAAGGCCAATGTCAGCCTTGCAGGCAAGATCGCCATCGCACGCTACGGTGGTATCTTCCGCGGTCTCAAGATCAAACGGGCTCAGGAGCTCGGCATGGTTGGTGCTGTGCTCTACAGCGACCCTGGTGACGATGGCGAGATCCGAGAAGAGAATGGGTACAAGACATACCCAGAAGGCCCGGCTCGCAACCCTTCGAGCGTCCAGCGTGGCAGCGCTCAATTCTTGAGCGTGCGTCCTGGAGACCCAACAACTCCGGGATATCCAAGCAAGCCCGGTGCGCCCAGAGCACCTGTGGATGCCGCCATTCCATCGATCCCATCGATTCCCATCTCATACGCCGATGCACTGCCCATACTCAAGGCTCTGAACGGCCATGGACCCTCGGCTGATGACTTCAACCAGTATTGGACCCGCAACTTGGGCTTGAAGTACAAGGGAATTGAGTACAACATTGGCCCCTCACCCGACAACGTCGTCATCAACCTGTACAACGAGCAAAGCTACGTAACGACGCCTCTCTGGAACGTCATCGGAATTGTTAATGGTACTATCCCGAATGAAGTGGTCGTGATCGGCAACCATCGTGACGCCTGGATCGCTGGCGGCGCTGGTGACCCCAACAGTGGCTCCGCCGTACTCAACGAAGTCGTTCGTAGCGTCGGAGCCGCTCTTGCAGCTGGCTGGACCCCGCTCCGCACAATTGTCTTCGCCTCTTGGGATGGCGAGGAATATTCCCTCATCGGCAGTACGGAGTGGGTTGAGGAGTATCTCCCTTGGCTCACGGATGCTGCGGTTGCCTACGTCAATGTGGACGTAGGCGTCCGGAGTGCCAACTTTGATGCCGCAGCAGCCCCGCTCCTTCACCGCGTCCTTCGGGAGGTTGTTGCCGCTATTCCATCGCCAAACCAGACTGTCCCAGGACAGACCGTGGGTGATCTGTGGAGCGGCAAGATCAGGCCCATGGGCTCCGGCTCCGACTTCACGGCGTTCCAGGACTTTGCCGGCATCCCGTCGCTGGACTTTGGGTTTGGCGGCTACGGCCCCAAAGATGCGGTATACCACTACCACAGCAACTACGACTCATTCTACTGGATGGAAAATTTTGGCGACCCAGGCTTCGAATACCACAAGGCCATGGCGCGTATCCTCGGTCGCACCGTCGCGGAGTTGTCCAACAGGCCCATTATCCGCTTCGACGCGACCGATTATGCCGACGCTCTCGCCGGTTACATTGATAAGATCGACGCCAAACTGGCCGCCGCCACCTCCTCCGCCGAGCCCGACATCGCCACCATGTCCGAAGAAGAAATCTTCGCCCTTCGCTCCAGCGGCCTCCCCTCGGGTGATGAAGCCGAAGAAGTCCGTCCACGCGGCAGTCCGGCCGATGTCGCTGAGGCCCTCGCCCACCTGCGCTTCCTGACCGCCAATCTCCGCATCGAGACCCAGCGCCTCGACGCGCTGGGCCCGCTGGGTCGAAGACACCCATAAGCCGCCGGCGTACCCTGGTGGCACGTCTGGAAGCGCCTCAAGCTCGGCTGGGCGCTCGTGCATGTCAACGCCGCGTACAAGGGCTTCGAGCGCCACTTCCTGCACCCCGAAGGCCTCGACGGGCGTGACTGGTTCAAGCACGTGGTCTTCGCCCCGGGCCTGTGGACGGGCTATGCGGGTGCCGTATTCCCCGGGCTGCAGGAGAGCATCGACGCTAGGGACTATGTGAATGCTGTGAGGTGGGCAGGGATCATTGGAGAGAGCTTGGCGTCGGCGGACAAGAGCATTTAGTCAACAGAAGTGTGGTGTATACCCATGCTGTCCGGATGGCACGTATGAGAACATCCCTCCATGAACCGTTACATTGGACACAATTACTTGAGATGGACTATAGGGTGACGCTGAGTACTTCCTCCATTGGGTTTGTGAATGTCGGACTGAGATCTGTGTGGACGGCCAGTAGAAATGAAGTAGGGCTACACGAGTTGACGGCCAGGCCGTGGTAACTACCATGAAAGCTCAGCAAGGGAATGGGCATCGTCCATAATGTGCAAACAAAAAAGCACAGCCGGGCTGAGTTCAGTGTGGCGGTCTAACATATCATTTCTACATTCTAGTGCCTGCCATATTCGTACAAATCAGTCGTCTCTCTACCAAGAAATACGAGCCCAAACCAGCAGCAGCTTAGAACTTGTAGACCTGGTCAGGCGAGTAGCCGAGCTCCTTCAGGATGCCAACAAGCTCGCCCTGGTCCTTAGGGCTCTTCTTGTTGCCGGAGACGGCGTTCATCAAGCCGGGCGGGCCGCAGACGAAGACCTTGACGTCACCAGACGAAGGCTCGGGAAGGACCGTCTTGAGGAGGTTCTTGTCGATGAAGCCCTTGCCGCCAGACCACTCGCCCGTGGGCTTGTCGAGGACGTAAAAGGCGCGGAAGCGCTGGGGGTACGTGTTCTCGAGCTCGGCAAACTCCTTGCGCAGCAGAATGTCCTCCTCGGTCACGTTGCCGAAGACGAGCGTGACCTTGGTCTTGTCGGCCGGGTTGTTGAAGATGGCGCGGGCGAGCTGGTACATGGGGGTGATGCCCGTGCCGCCGGCTATGAGGGCAATGTGCTCGTGCTTGTTGGCGGTCCAGGCGTACTTGGGCAGCGGACCCTTGAAGTCGAGGCGCTGGCCAGGCGTCATGTCGTGCATGTGCGTGGACATGGGGCCGTCGGGGTACTTCTTGACGAGGAGGTCGAGGTAGCCCTTGGCGTCTGGGTGGGTCTCGTCAGTCTTGCAGTCCATCATGTGTTAGAAGTATAGAAGGGCAAGGTCATACCCTCGTCGCTGACGGGAGTGTAGGGGCGCAACACAGCCTTCTCCATCTCGGGACCCTTGTACTTGGTCAGGACAGCGCTGGCGACGGACAGGCCGGAGACCTGATCATCCTCGGGCAGCTTGAAGCGGAAACGCTTAGTGTTGTGGTTCACGATCTCGACATTCTCGAGAGCGAGCGAAACGAAGCCTTGGTCAACGCCGTTGAGAGCCTTCTTCGTCGTGGCATTCGTCAGGTCGGCGGCAGCGTCCTTGATCTTGGCCTCGGCCTTCTTGGCGGCGGGCGCACCACCAAGGAAGTAGTAGCCTGCGGCAGCGACGCCGACGGCACCAACAGCGTAGAGGGCGGTGTTGGAACCACCGGTCGAGGGCTCTGTGGCGTAGCGGCGTGCTTGCTGAAGAAATGGTCAGTAACGATATTCTGGCATGATGTCGTGGCGCGATGGAAATGCCACGGAGCACAAAGTGGGTGATCGCGTACCTGTTTGAGGGGCTGCACCGCCCTGAAAGCTGATCTGGAGAACATCTCGAATTCAATTGGCGTCGTGAGGGCGACAGAAAGTTGATTCGTTTATTGAATTGTGGTTGGAGGATATAGACTGAAGCTGCCGGCGATCAAAAAGGCCTCCTACCTCCAGTAGGTACCCACCCACTGACGCCATGAGTGGATGACGTACAGAGGTAGTCACGTGTGGTGGCTCTGGCATGGAGTCGCAGTATCGATTTCTAAGCAATATCCAGTTGACAACGAAAATGCAAGTGGTCTCCTGGGCGTGTCTGTTCACGCAGCAGTTTATTCTTACAATAGGTAGGCTGATAGATATCTCGGCAAGATGTTGCCATCTGCCTGCCACTGTAGGCTGTCATCCTTCATCATCATCCGCGATGCTCGGGTCTTGTGCCATCCAAGTTCAAGACATACCCTCAAGCTTAGTTAGATCCACCCCTGCTTCCCTCACTGTCCAACTGTTGGCGGGGCCCAATCCAATCCATCAAGCGCCCCCCTCTGACATGCAAGTAGCTCGCCAATCAAATAAAACGCTCCAGCCAACCGTTTATCATTTCTTTGTACAAGATTCTGTAGAAAGACGCTCTCAGTGAAGGCCAAGATCACCAGGGCGATTGGCCAACCATCGCTGCGACTTCGTCACCTGTCCTCTCCCACCGCCTTCTCGTTCGCAGGCTCTTCTGCTGATGTGACTACCTGTGGCGTGCTCGAGCTGTCGGCTGTCTTGTCCTCGACAATCTCAACAACAGGCGTAAACTGGGGATCGTTCGTCTTGGTACTGGGGTCCTGGCTGCCGCGGCGCATGGCTCCCGTTTCCTGATGCGACGAAAGTGTGGGAGTATTTGCCTGGCTTCCACCTCGTTGCCCATGATAGTGTATGACTTGCGGCGGTGGTTGTCCCGCTTGGATTCCGAGTTGCTGCGTAGGGTACGGGTCGAGGTCTTTGCTCGATGTTGAGAAGGTCGAAACGACGGGTTGATGATAACCGTTGGCTGGCGCAGTGGTCGCAGGAGGCTGCTGCTGTTCGTATGTGGTGGTGTGATCTGCTTGCGTCGGTGTGCCTGAGTCGTGAGGCGATACAGGTCCCTCTCCGAGGTTGCCGGTCAGACTGTTCATCCCACCTTCAATGTCTCGCAGAAGACGCACATACTCCTCCGGAACAAGTCCACTTTCTCTGGTCTTGGGGTCCTCGGCTACCAGCCAACCCTGGCCATGGCGATATGACACCCAAATGATCTGGCCCTCCACCAGCGGCAGCTCATTTTCATTCTCCCGTTCAAAGTCAAACAAGGCTACAGCCTTGCCGTGCATCTCCTCGTCCGGTGACGTGATGGTAAATTGGTAGTCTCTGGAGTACCGCGACTGATCTTCTTCACGGAAACCAGGCGAAGACGCAGAGCTTGAGGCATCCGACTCAGACCTTGGTCCCCCATGGTCAAGATACTGGCGCGGTGGCTGCTCGCCTATCTGATATGAGTGGCGAGAGTGCCGTGCCTGTGCAGCAGAGTAGGTGACATACTCGCCGCCAGGGCCGTTGGCTTCGCCTCCCTGATTCACGTAGTAACGCTCGCTACCATCACCAGCTGTGCCCATGAAATATCCCCGCTCTCTGTCATAGTTGGCAGGGTTCGCCATGGAAGCACCACCGTTATGGCGCCCATGCCCAAGGGCAGCATGCGAGGACTTGTGCTTGCGATGCCGTGAGCTCACAACAGGGCTCTGCAGATCTTCATCTTCGCTCCAGGGTGGACCATCACCGAATTGTATCGGAGGCAAGTCGTTGCCACGACCAAAACCATCGGGCTGCCAGCCACCTGTCTCCCAGCTCATCTTGGAGTCCCAGGTGGCGGGCGGGTCCGAGAGTCGTCGAGATTCGCTCATGGGCGTGCTCAGACCGGAGGCGGGATGGGAAGGCTCGGGAAGGGGTCCATAGTGCATGGACTGCACAACCGGATAGGCGAAATCACGCACAAGGGTGTATGGGAGGCTCGATGGAAACATGGGAAAGATGTGAGAGGGCGGTCGCGATCGAGAGGGGATGGACCCGGTGGAGTATTGAGACAATCGATTCTTGGAGGCGTGGGAGAGCGGTCTCGAAAGCGTAGAATGGCGGTTTGGTGGAGAGGTGACGAGAGGCGGAAGCGGAGGATGGTTCGGATTCGAGGCCGGAGAGGCTGCCGGAGGGGATGTCGCTGGCGAGGGGGTTTGCGACATGGTGGTGGCCATGATTGAAGAGAGGTGGTCGTTGTCGACGAGAGCGCCGCCAAAGGAGACAGCAGCAAGGCTCCGTGGCCGAGCGACACTAGCCGGTAAACTTGTCAGGAGCCAACGTCGGGCAAGCGGCCTGGTAGTCCCACGACGGTTTGGTGGTTTCTGTTTGGTATGCCACTTGGTGGGGGCGACCCAAACCAAGTTCGAGCACTGGGGCAGAGACGGGGCGTCGCACTTGTCGGCCGAATCTGGGGCGCAATCGCACAAGTTGAATAGACCGCAATGATGTGTGAGCAGACGAGAAGTCGAAGGGGAAAGCGCCACGACAAAGCGCTTCGGCCGCCTGGCCTGTCTCTGGAGAAGTGAGAGGTTGGCGAGTAGCCCTAACGAGGCTGGCAAGGGAATTATGAGGGAAGCAACAACCTTCCAAGCGTTGCGAATGGGCCAGCAGTCGCAGGCAGCGTTAGAAGATGACGGAGGTCTAAGGAGTGTGGAGAAGGTTAAGATCAAAGTCCATGTAAGGGTGTCGTCAGGTGAGTTGATCTCAGCGCGTGGCTCAGACAATGTGCGGTGTTGGAGGACGAGGCCGGGTGGTTCAACTGATGATGGTGGAGGAGGTCGAGGTGGAGGTGGTGGAAGAGAGGAGTCAAAGACACAAGACAACCCACTCAGATAACCAGTGGTTGCTGCCCTGGAGCGAGACGCTGGTCGCTGGCACGATTGAGAAGGGGAGTGAGGGGGGGGTTTGTTTATGGATGGTAAGGTAGCGTGGGGTGGGCCGGTGGAAGCCTACCTTGCCTAGGTAGGTACCTACCAACCTGGGTGCCTAGGGAAGTATGATGGTACACTCGGGAAGTACTACCAGGTAGCCACCTCCTTCCCTACCCAGGCAAGTACCTACCTAATTGACCAGATTGCCTACTCCTGAGGGTAACAAAGATGCTGACGGCGGGAGCTGCCGGGTCCTATAAGGATGGCTGCTTTGCTTGCGCACTCTTACGCGCTTCGTCTTCTGAGCCCCCCCCCCCCGCCTTGGGTAAGAAGGCCTACCTCGTCTATCCTACCTACCTTAGCCCACGTCATGGCTAAG